GTCCAGCTCAGTCCCATCCCCCCCCCCCCCCCCCCTCCCCACCCTCACCTGTACAAGACCATCCTGCTGAGGCTCATTTCTGGATTGGCTTCCATCTCGAGAGGACACTTTGCCTTCGTGCTGTTGTAGAGATGTGTTGAAACCAGTCTGAGACAGGGTTAAGGGGTAGAACTGTCCCCGGTTCAGGTAAGCCATGGGTCCTTCTCCAGGTCTCAGTGACATACTTGCTTCCAGACTGTACTGGAAAGTGTCACTGTGAGGAGAGCAGCAAGAATTGAGACACATCTTAAAACGTCTTCTCTTGACCACAAAATACAAAAGGTAAATGTATAAAAACATCCTAGTATTACACAACTATATGAGTATTTGTCAGCTATACAAACATATATGACATTTTAGGTAAATACCAATTTAGTGACTGTTTCTCGACTATTAATTCCAGTAGAAGAAATTATTTTTTAAAGCATTATAGAAGAGAGGAATTTTTTGACTAAACTTTATTAACCAAACAAATAGAATAAATCGGTGTTGTATTGAAAGTAAAAAAGTCTAGAAAAGGCCAGAACATATCACTGTGACAACACTGATACATACGCTACCTAAATACCACTAAATACTGCAAAGTAAAATACTTGGGTTTTTTTATACCCCTATACAATTCATCCATGGCTATTAGGATACTATTAAGAAATGACAATAAGTATCTTGGGGACAACTTTAGAATAATCCTGTACCTGTACATCTCTCAATCACTTTTTCTTGTACAAATGAATGCATTTTTAGGGAAATCATTTATTTTATTTTCATGCCATGGCCAACGTTAACAAAACTTAGCAAGGTTAACCACATGTGGCATTGTAATGCAAAGTGAAGCAGTGTGTAGCTAAACTATTGGTGTATACTGAGTACAGATGTATCAAATAATTATTATAATTTCTATAGTTTACCTGGGGAAAAAATAATAATTTGGATTTTGACCACAAGCGAAATTCAACTGAACAAGGCCGACAAACGTGTTACTTTAGATGTTTTGCTTCTACCTTAGTTGTGGGCTGTGGTGGAAATCTTCACCTCCTGAGGAAGGACTCCTGCTATACATCTGTAAAGAAAATACACAGTTTCAGAAAACAGAACATTTTTTGAAAAAAAAAAAAAAAAAAATCACACCTTATGTGATGATGATGCGTTTTAACCAGGAGCAGCGACTTACATGTCTTTCCTCTGTATGTTCGTATGTGCTGTCCGGTGTGCTCCTCTGTTCGTCTTTAAAGTATCCAGACATGGACAGATCATAGCAGCTCTGTTTGTAAGCCATCCTCATCTGATCTCGGTTTTCTCCTGGATAAGAACTACGACAAGAGGAAACCCCTGTGGAGGTTTGGGCCTCTGTTTTGACCAGAGCCAGGGCCACCTCACCTTCAGTTTTCACATCTGCTGTTCTGCTGCTTCTTACAAAGCCAGCCGTGCAGTACTTGGAATCCTGATGATCTGTAGACGAGCTGTGATTTAGAGAGAGGTTGACAGGCATGAATTTGAGAGCCTGAAGATGATGGTCCAGTAATTCCAAATTTCCACGGTTGATAGAGCCAACACTGGGGGAGTCTGTGGGTTTGACACCATTTGCTGCCTGTCTCTTGTCTTTGGGGACCTAGCACATTTAAACAAAACAAAATATAAGGGAAATTGTAAAGAATATGTTCCTTTGGTCTTTTCGTTTGTTTGACTCTACAGTAAATCTCTCCACACCCTATAGTAGTCATACAGCAGTCCCAGAGCCGCAGCGCTGTCCTCATCTCCATTGATGCTCATCATAGCCTTAGTAGCCGCCGTCAGTGGGTTCTCCAGGTAGCTTCTCCATGCCTCGTCTTCACTGCTAAACATTCTGCCTGAGGGTGCTGACACCTCGTTTGGTACCACCACCACCAGCCGTTTACTTTGACAACCACAGAACAATGGGAAATGACAAAAAGACAAACTGTCATTAAATGAGGCTTTGTCTCTGCCAAGGAACCACAGCTGCCCCAGGCTGTTTCTCACCAAGCTTAGTCTTAATGGTTCAATCCAAGTGTTGATATTTACAAATAACACTAAAATCATCATAGGCAATTAAATATAATCACGATGGCAATGTAGAACGTCTCTATATATAAGTCTTCACACATATGGGATCAGGACTCATGGACACAGTATTATTTGGTGCAATTCCTCGCTTTCAAGCAAGATTTCTTGATTTTTACTCTACTGTAAAATATAAAACACTGAAATTATATTTAAAATGCAAAGTTTACTGGATTACAGGCTAAATCATCCCCGGTGGGAAGGCAGTTGTTTACATACAGGCAAATCGTATGTTTCACAAATGGCAGATAAAAAAGTCAATGTCATACAAGATTATTGCTCACTTCGATAGCACTAAAACTTTTTTTGCACATCTCTAATTGAGTCTAAAATAAATTATGTCCCTATAACAAAAATCAGGAAAGCACGTTCTAAATAAGTTTCACGATTTAACCAAGCCGCTGGATTTAAATTGAGCCGCTAACTTTAGTCACTGTCTCCTACCCGTCTAGGTCCATCCTGCTGCCGCTGCCTGTTTCCCAAATTTCACTGCCGGAGAAACTGGACTTTCTCGTTGTTGCAGGTGAGTGAATGATTAAGTGTGTGAGGCAATGCAGGAACCTGGTCTGTATTTAACTTGTCTATAGTGACAGCCAATGAAATCACCTGTATCACTGAGCAACACCAGCTTGTTCTCTGTCTTTAAAGGTACGCAAAACACGTAGGACCGGGTTTGTGTTCCGTCTTGTGCTACGAACCGCACACGAGCAAGTCACGGTGATTGGATGAATATATCTACACAGGTAGTGACGTCGCTGGTCTATTGGAGGATCGATTGAATGGGGCAGAGCTTAAAGGGGTAGAAACGGCTTGAATTAGAGAGGGAAAATTAAATTTTGGAGTGACAATTTATTAGTTATTTACGATTTCTATAACTATGGAAATAGTTACTATAATTAGTTTGTGATAATAAACGTTTTAATCTTTTTGATTAACACCCAAATCCACAGTTCACTGCCACATCAAATGCAATCTTATGTATAATATTCAGCACATTTTTCTGAACTAAGAGGATTACAGACGGCGTCGTTTTGTGTTATTTTAATCCAATTTCCCTTTTCTTTTCTTTTCATTTCTTTGGGAACGTAGTTTGAACTTTTCTCTGGGAACGTAGTGGGCGCTGTGCACCTTTAAAAGTTTCCTGAAAAACCATAGAAGAAGAGACACACAGAAGAAACGTACTGGAAGCAATTCGTGTAACAGGACTAAACGTATCTGTTATTTAACACTGCGAACGTACTGGAAGCAATTCGCGTAACAGGACTAAACGTATCTGTTATTTACCTAAACTTTTGCTACAGTGACTTATATTGTTTTCTTCGCTAACGACTTACACGTTTTGTATTTTATTTTTATTGTGGTTCAAAGTGCTTGTGGTTTCTATTCTGCTCTACCTAGTTTAACTAGCCTTATTGATAGCGACCTGCTAACAGGACGATTGTCTCCTTACAGAAAACAGCATGTTCAATGTATTTGAATTATAACAAGAACCGTTAAAAACAAAATGATTTAATAGTGTGACTGTACCATTTTAAGAGGGTTGTCGAAGTTGCCACTACTGTTACAGTGGGTATGAAAGCATATAAAACTAATATCTCCAAAGGTTGCAAATCCAACACATCCGGACTTGGTAATGCGAAATTCCTGAAGACATGAACATCTCGTTTCTCAGTTTTTAAATTTTGGCCCACTGTGAAATTGAGTTTGACACCCACGCTTTAGACCTAGAGACACCGCCAGAAAGATTCATAGGGATAGATGCAGATGCAGCCACAGGAGAATCTCCCCTTACCTGGAAGTGACTGTGACAATTTTGGTGGAACATGATTATAATATAACAATTCAGTAATGGTATTATTTCCAATAAATACAACATATTTACTGTAACAAAATGCCAGGAACCAATAGTATTTTCCCCCAGATCTTTGCACAGCAAAAGTCATAGTATACCTATCCATTTTTTCTCTAAAAGCAAAGTAAACGTTGAAATGTATTGTACTCTAGTGTGAAAACCAAAATCTTAGATATTTGTGACTACCAGGGAATATATTTCCGGACGTGGGAAAATCACATATTACTGTGGAGGGTTTTGAAACGGAACTACAACTCCCATCATCTCTCGCATTTGGTTGCCCGGGTTACGGATTGACGTCACCACCAACCTCCTCCCAACGGGCCGAGCCTTGGTGTCATTGAAGGGAAACCCCGTACACTGTTCAGACAGACGGGCTGAAGGAGTCAGCTGAAGCTTGGGACACCGGCTTACATCACTGCTGTACGCTAGTAACCGGGTATGACAGTTCTTACGGCTTTTAATTGTGCTTCTTAATTTTTCTCATGTTGCTGAAATAATTTCTTACTGAAAATAAAACAACCAAAACATCTCAGCTTCCCTCTTCAACCTTAGCGGAAACTGGCGGAGCAACGAACAATGGCTAGCTAGCTCCTGCTAGAGATGTGTGTATTTGTTGGTTTCAACTTGGACACGAGACATTATTTGGGTGTGTCAGGTCTAAGTTGTCATTCAGATAATCTTTAGCGGTCTGCAAATTGCTGGTGACATTAGTAATTTTTTGCGGGGTCCAATTACCTCAAAAGTTAACGTACGCGGGCAGATGTAACGGAAATGTATTGTCTGAAAGGCATGGCTGCAATGGCTTGCGGAATTTGACGTGTCGGACTAAGCTCCGCTCAGTGTCGACAATTCCATTATACTGTAATTATTTTCTTACAGGCAGTGTTGAGTGACGAGTTATGTAGGGTAACAAAGGTAAGACGACTGTTTGAAAACGGGCGACTAGTGTAAGTAATGCGCATTTTAATCGGTTAGTACCGTCGTAAATGACCAATACTTCATACAGTTATTAGTTGGCATTTATCATTTAAATGTATTTGGTTACACACAACAAACGCAGCGTTGAGGTATGAAGCCGCGGAGCCTATGTATAATACACTAGCTGAGAACGCTCCTGTTTCAAGAAGTAGTCGACCCCGCCATACTAGAAACTGGTCACGAGGGCCCATGGGAAAAGACGTCGTCTGTTCATTTTCAAAAACTCGTTTCACCTTCTCCTCATGTCAAACAGAGTTAACGATGTAGCGGCTTTTTTGGCGATGATTAGGTATACTGTTTTAACACGATCACACAAGGATCGGTTGAAACCCACTCCAGGAAACACTTTTCCTGTCCCTGGGAGAGTCACAGGTAAGAAAGATGGGTGTGGTGTGTGCGTTAACAGACGGAAGGGGGAACGAAAGAGTTTGCCCTAGAGAAAAGATCATTTTCACGTGCGGACGTTGCAGTACCATGCGTTTTACCGTAAAAAAAAAAAAAATTAAAACACACACACACACATATATATATGTGTGTGTATTTTCTTGGGAATCTTAACCGAATAAACAATTATTGCTCCTGGCCACAAGATTATGTAAAAACATGTGCGTTGGAATTTAATTGTGGTTTGTGTGTCTCATTCGTAAAAACGCTACGAGATTGTTTGGAATTAATGTATGTTTAGTTTTAATTCAAATATGGTTATGTTATGTTTTTGATGAACCCACTCTGTTCTAAAACATCTTTGTATGGTAATTGGAACAGTCACATATTTGATAAGTATCCAATTTAAAGAAACTCACAAATACTTTTCGAGACAGAATATGCAAAAGGTGGCTTAAACCAAACCAACGTGACTCCTTCCACAGTTAAGTGCTTTTGTACATTATAGGTAGGTAGAAATAAAGTCTTTAAGTTTTGTAAGCATTTTTCTCATCAGAAAAAAGTAATACATTTACTCCATCAAAGTGGAGATTGGCCAATAGATATTAAAAAATATCCCTTGTCAGAAATGTCTAAACCAGGCTTTAATTACAACAGGACAGGCAGAGACACTGCAAGATTGATATGCTTCCTTCATCTAGGCCATCTTTGTAAACCAAAATTTGAAGGCTTTAGCAGTAGATTACCTCAACATTTTTGTCTCGCCATACAAGTGCGTTCCATGACATGAAAAACATTTAAATATTTAGAACCCACTGTTAAGAACTTGCAAAATAAATGGAGAGATTACACTACCATACAGTTCTATTAAGAAAAATTGAGGAAAAGAGTTTTGATGGAGGGCACGGTTTATATATTTTAGAGGAAATTTTGTCCCTTGATTTTGGGAAATGGTTTATGTATTTATTTTTCTGCAGTTTACCTTATGTGGGGTAACCTTGGGATAGCTTCAAAAGGAATATAGAGTTTGATTTCTTTGGTAGACCTGTAGAGCTGTAGTTGAAAGCATTAGCAGTATACGACAATTGACATAACCACCACTAACTGTCAGTAAAGCCTCAAAAGGTGTCTCAAGTGTTCTGCCCGTTTTTAAAGTTCCTCCACACAAAGGAAGTTTGCAAGGAAATGAGGCAACCACTTACTCAAGTAGAATGTCAGCATGTATTTTTCTGAATAGGTTTTGGTCTATTTGTTGATCTTGTGGTTATGCTGTCTCTTTTTGTTTGCTACTGTGTTCTATTAGAAATGTGAAATTAACAAGTAAAACCAGCTGATAGTCATGAAAACCTTAACTCAACTTAACGAGGCTTTTGTCCCAATGTAAATGTTGTCTTTTCTACTTATGTTCATTCAGTCAGCAGCCATGAGTGATCCATCCAAACAAGACCTGGTGACCAGGGCCAAACTGGCTGAGCAGGTTGAGCGCTACGATGACATGGCTCAAATAATGAAGGCTGTTGCGATGTCAGACGAAGACATGTCAGAAGATGACCGCAACCTGTTGTCAGTGGCCTACAAAAATGTGGTTGGTGCCCGCCGGTCCTCATGGCGTGTGGTGTCCAGCAACCAGCAACAGAAAAGTGATTATAAACAGTCACTTGTCATAGAGTACAAGACAACAATCGAGAAGGAACTGAAAGACATCTGCAGGGAAGTGCTGGTGAGAATTATTGGTGACGTCATCTGTCAGTTGTTGTCTTTATCGTGATATTATTTCTACTGTGTTAAAATGTATGTACCACTTGATTCTCAGATTTTCATAATTTCTATCTATGATTTAAAAAGAGCTAATATTCTTAAACGTGTTATGGTTAAATTAATCCTCTAGCGTTAACTGTTTAAATGGAACACAGTCATTGGCCTAACTCGTCACTAAAGCACGTACAACTCTATTTTGTGTCATGCATTTTCTTCTGTATGAGCTTAGAGGAAGCCTCGCTCCTTCCCATCTGATTAATGTATATACAATTTTGTTGTTGCATATTGCATAGGTTGCATATTCATGTAATCCTACTTGTACTCAGACTTGATGTTCTTGAAGCATCTTCATAACTGCAGCTCTTGTTATGTGTTCCCAATCTGTGCAATGTTGTCCAAAGAAGGAGAGGCAAAGCACGTTAGAAAACAGTGTTTTAGAGAGTTGAGTCAACATAGAGTTGATCAGATTTGGTTTAGGTTTGTATATTGGGTTTAGCAAAAGTCTACATTTAGCTAATATTTTCATATTACTGGTTACATTGCATGAGTGAAAACACTTGAATGCATTTCACATTAATATGTTATCATCCCTTTTGTCTCTATAAATTCCTCCATTGCTGTAAGAAGGTGTGAAAAAGCATGCTTGCCCTTTCTCATCATAAGAGGTCAGGGTGTTTTTTTTAAATTAGGTGTATCTGTGTTTTCTCTTTTTTTGACAGAAACTTTTGGATGCGTATCTTATTCCCAAAGCCAAAGAAGCACAAAGCAAAGTCTTCTATTTGAAAATGAAAGGAGATTACTTCCGCTACCTGGCTGAGGTTGCTACCAATGATGAGAAGAAAGGTACGTTTTGTTTTGTTTTGTTTTGGTTTTTTTTTTTTTTTCATTGTAAACATGGGTATTTGTTGGCATCTGGTACGTTTTCTGAAATACTGTTGTATATACAGAAGAAACTGTTGTTTTCCTAATGGGTTCTTTGCATGTCTTCAATACTCCTTCATTAATGGTCTCTCTTGCTTTATTTAAATCCAACAGTAGTGACTGTTTGTTGTTTAAAGTAGTCACAGTATTTATTCTAGTTTCTTACTTTCTCAGGAATAATTGAAGATTCAGAGAATGCCTATACTGCAGCTTTTGAAATCAGTAAAACTCAAATGCCCCCCACACATCCCATTCGTCTTGGACTTGCCCTCAATTTTTCGGTTTTCTACTACGAGATCCTTGATGTACCTGAAAAAGCCTGCAGTCTGGCAAAAGCGGTAAGTACAAATTACAAGGGTCTGCATTCATTCATGTGGTGATGTAAACCTATTGATAGCTTGTATTTCACTTGCCAAGAAGTCCCCTAAAATGCCCAAGCATTTAAATGTCTCAGAACGGAGGGACACACACAATTTTGTTTTCCACTAAATGTCTTTTGGATTCCTGTAGGCTTTTGATGAAGCCATCGCAGAGCTCGACACATTGTCTGAAGATTCGTACAAAGACAGTACACTAATCATGCAGTTACTGAGAGACAACTTGACAGTAAGTGTGATTTTGATTTTTTTTATTTATTTAATGACTACACATTATAATCCACGCTGTTTGAAAAATTTGCTACTCAATTTCAATTAGGGACAATCCAATTTGCATTAAAATTATTTAAACTTTGTTCTAGTCAGTAGAGGTCCTTCATCTAATCTTTACATTTTGTTTCTCATACCTGTTCTGTTCTTTTTCAGCTGTGGACCTCTGATACCCAGGTTGAGGGAGATGATGCAGAGGATCCCAAAGATTGAGCAAAACCCCCACCATAGTCATCCCAGTCCCTGATATTGTCCCAATTCAGCATCACAATTAATTAACTCTAAGACCACCTCACTATCATGTTTTTTCCCAGTTCTTTCTATATTTTTTCTATTTTGGAGTGTTAACTTTTTTTTTCTTTCCTGTTCACGGTTCCCTTTTTTGTAGCAACTGCGGGAAGGGAAAAGGGGTTAGAATTTTAAACTATTTGTGGGTGGGGTCCGTGAGGACAGGGTTAGTAGTCTGGGTTTCCTGCCCTCCTGCTGACCTATTTTTGTGGGAGCTATAGGGGTGTTGTATAATTAAGGTGGTGGTGTAAGTTCTTGACTTAATAAAACATTCAGGTGGATGGTTTTTTGAGTCAGATAACTGGTTATACTGTAAGGATTCCATTCACATTAATAGTCCTGGTCTTGATTAACACCATTTTGATAAAATATGCTTTCACACAAATCAGTTGCCTTGCCATGCCTTAGCAGACAGCAACGCTTAAGTGCTTGGCAAGAGTAGTAACAGTGGAGAGTAAGCAATGAGGATTGCTAGGAATGGAGAGATTTTGATGCAAAATAGAAGTTACATTCCAATTTCAGTTTCAACACTGTGCCCTTTTATTTTTAGTTTTGGGTTTGTTTTTTTGTCTTTAATGACATTTTTTTTGAGGGGGTGTAAAAAGCACACACTCTGATTAATTATCATGTTTGGTCCAAGCACAGCAAAAACAGCATACATTCTCACCTAGTTTCTTTTTCCAATTAAGATTGACTTTGTTATTACCACCTTTTAATATAGTTGTCCAAACTGCATGGTAAGACTTAGTTTCTGGAGAAGTAAGAAAAGTGTTCTCTGCCTGGCTGGCTTTGTTTGTGTTTTTGGAATTTTCATACAAAGCCGTTATTAGAGAAATTGTAATTTCATCTAAGAGGAATTAAAACAATTCAAATATCAGCCTGTTTGAAGGATCAGTCTATTTTTAAGAAAGCAATTATGTATTGTAAATAATAATGCACCGTTTAACAGTTGTTGCTCAGTGTGTCCTTATTACCTTAGCCTTACTGTGTTAGAGGAATGAATGAGTCATTGAAGACCTGTAGAAACATCTCCTGCATAGCAACAGTTTTTTTTTTTGTTTTTTTGTTTTTTTTTTGTGGCATTCAAACCAAATTCTCTAATATACTGACAATGGAGCTACTGTTCCTTTTACAACATGTTGAGTTGTTTCTGAAGTAATTGTGAAAGTAATTTAAAACAGTATAATTAAAATTGACAAACCACAGAAATGCTTCACTTGAAAATGGCTATAAAGACATCCTATTTCTAAACTAAATACATAGAAACGTAGTCGGCAGATTGATCAGTATTGATGCATCAATATGTGACAAAAAGAAGCAAGCTTTTAAAAATGATCACAATGTGCAGCTTATGGGTGTATCTCTGAGAAATACCAATACTCTACAAGGCAACTCCCAGGAGTTTTTCTCAAATAGTCATCAAGCTGTTGTGACCTAACATTTGCTATGGGTCTGGGTTTAAAATCTTTATCTCGCAGTATATGAAACATGCTGTATTTTAAAAGGCATTTTCAGATTTAAAAAAAGTGTGAAGTTGCTGTATACACATTTTAAAGTATCCAGGCTTTTGGCCATAAACATATTGTAGTTTTCCACTGTAAATTTGCCAGAAAATTATGAAAGGTCACCATATGTCCAAGAAAAGAACTGGTCTCTCATGAGGCAATAGAAGCTGCTTCAACATATTTTTATTGTATTTTTAAATATAACAAATATAGTATGTTTGAGATAGTGTGCCAGGACTGACTATTAATTATGAACTTGAAATACTGTATATGTAAGAAGGACTAGTATTTGATAAACAAAGCTTTCCAGAAAAATGATTAAATTTGAAATGCATTCAAGTTGCTTTTGTGAGAAATATAACAACTCCGCTGTAATGCTTGGGAACAAACTAACCAAATCAACAAACTACCAAACCTTTCAGTTTTAAAACCTATTTCTAAAAAAAGATTCAAGTCAACAGACAGGTGAAGGATGCTGACAGGCTGTCGTCTAAATTGAGCGTGGTCAACTTTACACGTGAATTTCTATGCACTTGAAAAAAAAAAAATTATATGTAACACTGTTGACGAAATAAATGTGCAAAGCAACATAACGACATTCTGGAAACTGACGCTCTGGTGACATTTTATCGTACGTCTCTGACATCGTTGCCATGGTAACAGTGACAGGAAAAGTGGCCCGCCTTTCATGCTGCTTGTCCTTACAAAAATAAAAACACCTTTTAAGTATTTTCTTTATCACATGCGGGTGTTTGTCAAAAGAAAACTATGTATTTCATGCTGCAGTGGGCAGTCTTTAAAGATAGTATCGCGAGATGTATGACGTAAGCTTAGGTCACGAAGGCGCTGCAGTTTTCGACTGCAATCGGGAAACAACCTCCACCGACCTTCCTTTCATTCCCGTAATCCGTCTGCGAAGGGTGTGCTCCGGAGCTAGACTCGGCACACATTTTATTATTATGAAACAAACCAAAAGCTAGAGCGCACACGCAGACATATTTTTATAAGAAAAACAAAAATCGGTGAAGCAGGATTTCATTTGCCAAAAAAAATAAATAAAAACAAACAAAGCGAAGAAGACGCTGACAACAAACGCAAAAGACGGGACGAGGAACGGTTGCACGCTGAGCTCCATTTATCCTTATTGTTGGAAGCGTGTGTAACTAGCGTTAGCTATTTGAATTGTAACCATTTATCCACCCTTTGTTTTTTTATTTTATAATTTCTATTGTCTTTACTGCCAGACGACTTAGTTTCACATAAGGTCGGTGGTGCACGCTTAAAATCTTGGGGAGTAACAGCTACATCGATTAGGCCAAGCTCCGACATTTTGCTAATCAAGCTAAATGAGCCCACGTTGCTAACACCATAGAATTTTGCGCTAGCGGCATTTGTTAAGCTACATTGCGAAGGTAATAGCCAACGAACACAGGAACCTCTGGCTATCGATTATTTAAAATCACGAAATAGTTTTATCTGATATCAAGCGATATTAGAAATGAATCCTAGCGCGCCTAGTTACCCCATGGCCTCCCTCTACGTGGGGGATCTGCATCCAGATGTTACTGAAGCCATGCTCTATGAAAAATTCAGCCCAGCTGGACCTATTCTATCCATCAGAGTTTGCAGAGACATGATCACACGCCGATCACTTGGATATGCCTACGTCAATTTCCAACAGCCTGCAGATGGTAAGTGCTGTCATTTACTGCAGAAGGCATTAACTCCAGACCAAGGCAGAAAATGTGAGGTAGATTTAACCAAATTTGTTTGGTGCTTTACCATAGAATAACTTAACAAAAGTAGGACGAGTTTGTGATCAGTTATAAACCATGAGAAATATTATGCAGTGGGACACACAGATGCTTAAATGTGTTGCATCAGCTGTGTGAAATGTTTTTCATTTACTGACTGTTTTTTGTCTGTACCAGAGGGAATCGACAAGATTAAACGTTGACCAATTATAGTTTACTTTTGATCATTCGAACTTTCTCCTCATAAGTTTCTGTGATTTTCGTGATTATTCTTTGTGTTGCATTAATGTGCAATTTAGCACAGACATAGGGCAAATTGGCTGAAAGAAAGAAAGAAATAAGGAATGGTGTTATTTAAAGGCTCCCACTCAAAATTTACAGCTACATCTCTTCTCCATCACTGCTAAGCCTATTCCATTTTGAACTCAAATTTTCATAAATTATTCAATTTTGTTTAGAAAAATTGGCTATGTAATACTTCAATTGTCTGCATTTCTTCCTAAACACTGCCAACTTGTTATTGGATAAGTATTGGATAATTTATGTTTATATGATGCATTCCACCTGCAAACTGTTAGTGATCTTGAAATATTTCTTAGCTGAGCGAGCCCTGGATACCATGAACTTCGATGTGATCAAAGGCAGACCTCTGCGCATTATGTGGTCTCAGCGTGACCCCTCGCTCAGGAAGAGTGGAGTGGGCAACATCTTCATTAAGAACCTCGACAAATCCATTGATAACAAGGCTCTTTATGACACCTTTTCTGCCTTTGGAAACATCCTTTCCTGTAAGGTAGGAACGCTAACTATCAGCGTTTATTTTCTACTGTGTTTGAGTGCTCTAGATAACTACTCTGCATGACTCTAAACTTTAGTGAGTTGAGACTGACTTTTTGCGTTGCATGAAGTTCATGGGGTTGTCAGTTTATATGCTCAAATGTCCTTTCTCCAAGGTGGTTTGTGATGAAAATGGCTCAAAAGGTTACGGCTTTGTGCACTTTGAGACCCATGAGGCTGCTGAGCGAGCCATTGAGAAAATGAATGGCATGTTACTCAATGACAGAAAAGTGTAAGTGGGAACAAATTTACACTAATTGTTTGAACATGTTTGGGTGTGTCTAATTAACATGGTTTGTGGTTAACTTCGTTTTGTATTCAAATTCACCTTCTAATCTCATCAGATTTCAAGTTTGTTCCAATCCAATCTACCTAGTCAGTTTTGTGGAATATCAGAGTTTTTAGTTGTGATTGGGGGAAAAGGTTTGATTCAGTGGGTTTTACTTGCTTAAAATACACTACCTACACTACCACTAATGTACCTGAAGTTGGTTGGATCAACAGATAATGCAATGTCTACGTAGATAAAGTTTAGAGAGGAATTGTAGTTAAGTTAACATTTTATTTTGGTTACTTTTCATAACTAATTTTAAAGGAACCATCTGTTAGCAATATCTTAAAGTTGATTGTTGATTAGTGAAAATAGTAAGTTCAAAGGTTTGTAACAGGATTTCAGCCTTATTCTGAAACTTTGTGTTATTTCATAGATTTGTTGGACGCTTCAAATCCCGTAAAGAGCGGGAGGCTGAGCTTGGTGCTCGTGCAAGAGAGTTTACCAATGTTTACATCAAAAACTTTGGGGAAGATATGGATGATGAAAAACTAAGGGAATTGTTCAGCAAATACGGTAAAACTGTGCGATGTAGGAAACATTTATTTCCAATGAAATTTTAGTAGTTTAAAAATAATTACCTGTACATTGTAGGACCTGCGCTCAGCATCCGGGTAATGACAGACGAGAGCGGCAAGTCCAAGGGCTTTGGCTTTGTTAGCTTTGAGAGACATGAAGACGCACAAAAGGTTTGTATCACACCAATCCCATATGTTATTAAAATGCTGTGCGTGTTGGTTTTAAACATGCTCTTGAGTGCCTCTTTATTCACTCTTCCTGTAACAGGCCGTGGATGATATGAATGGTAAAGAACTGAACGGCAGACAGGTGTATGTGGGTCGTGCACAGAAGAAAGGGGAGCGTCAAAACGAACTTAAGCGTAAATTTGAGCAGATGAAACAAGATCGCATGACCAGATACCAGGTTTGTTGGCCTCTGTTGCTGTCAATGCCATGAGGATGTCAGTGTGTTTCTTTTTTAGGTACTTATGTTCTCATGCTAAATTTTTACCCACCAGGGCGTCAACCTGTATGTGAAAAATCTGGACGATGGCCTGGATGATGAACGCCTGCGCAAAGAATTCTCTCCATTTGGAACCATAACAAGTGCAAAGGTGAAAATTCTCATCACAACATCTGTTGATGACTTGAAGTCCAGACTTCTAAATTACATTATGGTATAACACTGGACAAGATTTGATAAAATTGTCAACCTTCTCTTCGGACCCAGGTAATGATGGAGGGTGGCCGCAGCAAAGGCTTTGGTTTTGTGTGCTTCTCTTCTCCTGAAGAAGCCACCAAAGCTGTAACTGAGATGAACGGGCGTATTGTTGCTACAAAGCCACTGTATGTAGCATTGGCCCAGCGCAAGGAGGAACGCCAGGCCCATCTGACCAATCAGTACATGCAGAGGATGGCTACTGTCCGTGCTGTGCCCAACCCTGTCCTCAACCCCTATCAGGCTGCCCCACCCTCAGGCTACTTCATGGCAGCTATACCTCAGGTCAGTTACTGACTCAAAGTTGACCAAAACACATTATTGCTGGTTTTTGGATATTAAATGAATAGGGGGAACCTTGGTAATGATAATCATCATTCATAACACACAGATAGATTAATGTGCTTTTTTGCCAACCTAATAAAGCCAGCTCAGCCTTTATGTAAAGAAAACACTACAAGGGTTCCAATGTGACACTATGATTTGTCTGCCTTGTCAGGCTCAGAACCGTGCCGCTTACTACTCTGCCAACCAACTGGCTCAACTCCGCCCAAGCCCTCGCTGGGCTACTCAAGGAGTTCGTCCTCAACGTAAGTGACCACACCACTGACTAGGATTTTTTTCTGTTTTTGGTGAGGAACTCTTTCCATCTAATTTTACTAGACATTGAATGTGCTTTATAAATTTCATTTTTCTGTGACGGCACATCACGACTGCTGTTTTGACACAGTGAAGTTATCCATTTTCACTAATACAGCTGGACCACTGTAAAGAGAGATTTCATAAACCATCATTTAGCTCTCAGTTGATATGTTATTTAATGTAGAGAATGGTAGAAAAGGTCAGTCATTGCATTAAACTTTGAATGACATTTTAATGTGTCTTTGTACACGCACCGTTTTTGCCAATGTAAGTGTCACGCGTGTGTGATGTCATGTTTGAAAAGCTGAAATAAAAAATTGTGTTGGTTCTCCAGACTTCCAGAACATGCCCAATGCTGTGCGTCCATCAGCTCCCAGACCCCAGGCTTTCAACCCAATCCGTCCCACCACCACCACCAACACCCAGGTGCCGCGCATGATGGCTTCTCAGAGAATGCGTAAGTATTAAAAGCCATCATCACTCATTTTGTCGATAACTGTGAGTAGTTTTGAGAATGTGGTGTTGTACTTTTCTCATTGCAGCCACCCAGGCCCTGAGCCAGCGTCCTGCCAGTGCTTCAGCCACTGCAGCACCAGTGCGCGCCATGCCCCAGTACAAATATGCTGCCGGTGTTCGCAATCCTCAGCAGCACATGCCCACACAGCCGCAGGTCACTATGCAGCAGGTAAAATCCAACCTTAAATTTCTTTCTATAAAACTTTGGATAAAATACATTTTAATGTTGTGAAAGCAAATGAGCCAATGAATATTATTTTTTAGCTAATGCTAATTCCAGAATTTTATTTTCACTGAAATAAAATAACGTAACGTAAGAAATTACTTCTCTGTAGTTATACGTACTACATGTGGTTAGGAGTTGTTACTTACTGAATTTTTTATTTATTTTTCTTTATCCTCAGCCTGCTGTCCATGTGCAAGGACAGGAGCCATTGACTGCTTCTATGTTGGCTGCAGCCCCTCCTCAGGAACAGAAGCAGATGCTGGGTTAGTGTCAAAGCTCTTTTTTAACACCAACTATAAACTATCAAAAATCTTGGTGGTTTTCCCACATTTACCTCTTCTCTGTTTATGTTTGTTTTGTTTAATGGCTATTCTTTTTCAGGTGAGCGTCTCTTCCCCCTGATCCAGAACATGCACCCCAGCCTAGCAGGCAAGATCACTGGGATGCTTCTGGAGATCGACAACTCTGAGCTTCTTCACATGCTTGAGTCACCGGAGTCACTGCGCTCAAAGGTAAATATCTTTGTTGATCTATTTGATCTTAAACTGTTGAACTTTTAAGTGTCTTTTACTGTAGGCCCAACTTGAAAGTATAAGTTTCCCCTAAGCTTCTCTGACTCTTGTCATGCATAAAGTTGCTACAACTTAAAGGAATGTGTTTATCACAACGTTTCACAGGGTTAAGGATGGTCACGGTCACTCATGGAATGCTTTGTTGTTTCAGGTGGATGAGGCTGTTGCTGTGCTACAGGCCCACCAGGCCAAGGAAGCTGCTCAGAAGTCCACCACCCCTGCTAATGTCTAAGGTAGGGGGTAAATTGTTTTAATGCAACTTTTATTGCAGAGACCCTGACCTTCAGTGATTTGTTTTTGTTTTGTTTTCTTATTTTACAGATCAAGCATTTTGAAACCTGCTTCACCGATGGAAAAAGAGAAAAAAAAATTAAACATTGAAAAATCTAAAACTCTGAAAACATTGCAAAATGATAAATTATTTCTTAAAAAAAGAGAAAACAATTGACTTTGCCAGGTCTAGGTGTTGGTTTGACTAGACCTTGATCATAAAGAAAAATTTGTGGAAAAAAATAGCAAAATAGAGAAAATTGAAATTTCAGAATTTGAATGCATTCCTCTGTTTTATGTCATTTTACTCTGTCTGTGCTCAGAATATCAGCCATGATCAGGATGGTGGTTGCTGAGCCTTCGGAAAGGTGATTTGTATCGTAAACTACTGGCAGTAATAAATGCTCATTCAAATTATGGTCGTCTGACTATGGTTGTCTTATTTTATTGTAATATGCCAAAGCAAGACAAGTCAACTGCCATGATTACACAATTCCACGTTTATTACATGTCCTCCCACAACATACACATTCTATTATTGCGACAGTTATATTTAAAATTTCTTGGAAATGTTATCACATGGGAAACCTCTACAGTTGATTCATCTGTAAAACCATTTACCGATTAAAACGAATTACTACTTAATGTTGCATAACTAGTAAAGTAAGTTTATACTTGTGTACTCATTAACATTATGTGCTGGGACTGTTGACCAAGTAAACAAGATTTTGCAATTTGTCCTCATTAAAAAAATACATTTAATAGATGGGTCCTCCACAAGATGTCAGTGTAATTCCGAGATAATTTGTACACATTTGGCAAAATAATCAGCCTGAGTCAATAGATAGGTAAAATTGACTTTTTGTTGCTGTAGCTACATTCAAGAGTTCACATTTTCTATCAATGTAACAGTTTAGATTTGTTAAAGACGCATTTGAGAAGCTTGATGCAAACACATATTTGCGTTAGGTAACAGCAGTGTTTAGTTCTGAATGTTGTATGTCCCCACTAAATAAAAAATGAAAAACTCTTCAATAACATTGATAATAATATTGACATTTTATTACTAATATCTAAAACCCCAAATATAAGTGTTCAGGACTAAGAAAAAAAAATTTGCGGTAACATATTTATCAGTTACTTGACAATATACGTAAGGTTAATGATGGAAATGCCACTGCCCTTAACGCTCAGCTTTACAGACCTGACGCAAGCCGAGAAGCTGTGAAATATCTCGCGAGAATATTTGAATTTGTGACCTACTGCGAGAACAAGGAACAAGAGACCGAGTTGCTGTTGTATGAAAACGGAACAGATAGGTGGGACCCAAGACTAGAGGAAAATAAGTATTGGTGGCTGGAAAGGCGTAATAAACGACACTGCAATTGTACCGAGGATCTCTGAGCTGTTAATCGCCCTCGGAACGCAGGACGTGTCCTTTCGTCTTTCTTATTGTCTCACGGAACAAGTGACACCAGCGACAGGCGGTAGGTTCTCATTTTTTGCTGCTAACTCACACTAGCACACAGTCGCTAATGCTCGTCGGGTAGTAGTTCGCTGGATGGAATTATGGCTTCCTTTAGTCAGGCAGACTGGGACACATGCAGTTGAACAACAACCTCTAACTTAAACATGTGTTCCCTTTTTACCTTATTGCAAAATGCCTTTAATCTTATAACGTGACATTAAACACAGTTGAACGTGTAGCTCACCTAGCTTCCACATCAGTCTCAGCGTACGGCTTGGCACGCTATCACAACTTTTTAATCATTAAAGATTACCAATTATTAGGGTTATTTTTAAAACAGAAATATGATTAGCAGTGTCAAATGTTTAAATTTTGTGTCAATGTTGAGCAACAGAAGCCAGTTTGCTGATGACTTTAACCCCATAAAAAGAAAGAGAGGAGGTTGTGATTTCTATGAATACAGTCAACCGAAATGTTTAAAAGCTAGATGTGATAGTGACATGTTTATGGTAGTTTTGAGGACTGAATCACTCACAAATCAAAGATTGAGATATGTGGAGTTAAGTGAATAGAACAAACATAAATGTGAACTCAGTAAAACATAAATTATTTTGTGTTATGAGTGTGTGTTTTTAATATTTTATCTCACAATGTTTTGATAGCAGCAGAAAATTCCCAAATACATTCACAAGTACTGTTTTTAGTACATAAAACATTGGAACATATACGTTTTTAGCTACTTAAGTGGAATGATTCAGGTTATAAGAAAATTTTCTGACTGTCGAGAAGCTGTACAGTGGAAACTCCTCATATTAAACAGACAGATCTTACGCTTTACTTGTATTTAAGAAACTAACAAAGTATCTGTGGGTTTATCAAAAAAGTGGCTGACAAATTAGCATACTATCATTCACATCTATACAATTCTATACATCCAGTTGTCATGTTACATCGGACCCTACTTCAAAATTTTGCTTTAGAATTCTTTTTTGTCAAAATCAAATTGTAACTTCAAAAAATGACCCTTTTCATTAGAATAGAACGAAAACTGTTGATGAAGTGAAAGATTGTATTAAAGCTATGGATCATTACATTTTTTCTTATATTTTATTGTATAGTAGTATATTAACCAGGTCACTCCATTGATGTCTTTTGCATTATCAGTAGTTAGACTACATAAGTTATGGATTGCTTTTAGTGATGTAGGTAAACCTTAAGTATCATTTTTGTGTGGGTGTCAGATGTCCCAGTCTCTCATGTCCTGTGGGATCTGTTGGTTCTGCACTGAAAGGTCATCATGCCAGCATTACAGTGTGTCCTGTACTCCTATACTGTGTGTGTTTGTCAACCCGTGTGTGACCTCCCTCTCTTGCTCCATGGTAAACACAGCTGCAAGGTTGTGGTGCTAGTGGTTTGGGTTAGGCAACAAATGAGGGTGCTATCATTAATTATCTTCATGAAAGATCAGACAATTGTGGTTAGATTTTCAATAAGCAGTGTTAAATTTTAGAAAGGTAATTGTGATGAAAAGCAGTGTTTATAACTAAATATATTAAGTTGTGTATTGTACTTGAAGTGTTGATTTCTAATGCTGCCACCCCTATGAGACAGTTTACAAAATGAATGGTGTTCAGGTCCACTTCAGGCGGCCTTTGCATAGCTATTACTATTTTTTTCCCTTATGGTCATGGCTGTAGCTTATTTGTGAACATTAAATGACGGCGGCTTATATATGTAGAAAATGTAACTGTCCTATATGATGTCAGGCTTTCTTTTTGCTCTCCTTTTCTGGAATACCGTAGTAAGTTCTACATAAATGTGAGAATATGATGCAAAAATATAAATAAAAGTATTAGCAGAGCTTCTCTTAATTTTCAGTTCTGTAACTGAGTGCTTTTGTTTATCTTTCTCATTTTTGTTCCTTCTTTATTAGATTAACATGTTACTTCTGTGTAGGTTTTTAGTCATCCAGGTCGTCTTATCCAAAAATAGTTTCATGGAGGGCGACTGACAGGCAGTTAGAGCTGAGGACGCCTCTTGGATGAGAGCTGAAACGTCTTCAAGAAATCTACTTTGTTCAGTTGCCTTGATGTAACTATTTTTGGATGTTACTTTAAAGTAACAAAATATTAGGTTAAGTAAAGCTTGTTGGCAGTTATTGTTAGTAATTGTAAACAATTGACATAGTTATTATTACTGGTGGATTTGTTATATTGGTTTCAGACATAACATAGTTGGAAAACACTTACCAATCTTTTGCATTGCCAGTGCCACTCTTGATGTACAGTATATCTGTAGAACGCTCTTCAGTTGTCCACTACAGAAGTACCCTCCTGATGCCTCGCTACAAATTGTGCAAATCATGGCCTTACGGAAATTGTCTCTCCAGCATAGGCTACATTTCTTTAATTGCTATCAGCTTTTAAGTCAAAATGAATAACAGTGATTGTTTATAATGTAAAAAACAGATTTTGTCAGGTGTGTTATACCGTATACATTTTCATCCACAAATGAAAAGTATCCACAAGTGACAAAAATGGGATGTGACAAAATGAATGAGAATGATGCAAACAATTGTTTTATGGGTTGTAATTGCCATGCAACATTATGTGTAAATGGTAAGGAGGTAAAACAAAAGAGAGGAAATAATTATCTGCAAAGTGAATTTTATATTCTTTAATTATTTTAATATGGCCTCTAAAGTTTGAGTATTTGGCTTGACTAAAACATTATTGCTTTTAACTTAGGAGTATTCACAATAAACAGTCTTTACAGGCTTTTAAAAGTTGTAATGTACTGTAGTGTATTGTAATTTTTATTATTTGTATTTCATGATGGCGTTTAACTGCAAACCCTATATAAGACATTGTAGTTAGGGATATAAGATGCCACAGATTAGGGGCACAGTACATACACATCCAGTGTGATTCAACATAACGGGCCATATTGCCTGCCCTCTCCCGTACATGTATTTTCTCTGTTTTCAACATTGCATTTGATAGATTTGCAGTTCATCACATAATTTTAATTTCTCAGTTAATTTTGTTCTGTTTCACACCCTCTTCCTGAGCTACTGGCTCTCTCGGCTGAGCAAAAATGCCAGAAAGCTTACCTCATTTCCTCCACTCTCGACTGAAGCAAGGGAGGCAGGAGAAGTCTAGAAGGAGGGGGCAGCTGGAGACTGTAGTGGCTTTGTTGGGGTTGGAACCTTTTTTCCTTTTCTTCCCCTGCCTCTTTACTTTGTAGGGCATTTTCAACAATGTCTTCCCTGTTAACACGTTTTAGTTGTTCACTCTTTTTATCTTTTGCTATTTAAATTATTTAATCTGAAACACAATGTACTTTGAGTTACTCTCCTCTATGGGCTGTGTATTTCATTTTTCTGTAGTTTATATCGAAACAGTAAATGACACACTATTTCAGATGCCCCCTTGTCCCCAACGTTTTTACCTTGCTCTTTAGTTCAGGGAAAAATTAAGAGACACTGATGTTTCTCGTGCCACATGACTCAGGAGCTGCTCACGTTCTCTGCCAGGCAGTTGCTGCATCTCTGGTCATGATGTAGTGGCTGTCCCCAGACCCATAGAAACAGGAATGTGCATAAAGGGAGCATTACTCAGGAGACAGGCAGGTCAGGAATGCAGCTGAAGTAACTGGTATTGGCTGTCTCTGTCTCAGCTGCCTGCATGTTTCACTCTCGACTTTTATCTGTGTGGCTATCATCACTATTGTCTCTCTGCCTGCATGGCTATCCATCTAAATCTCTTATGTCTCTGTTTGTCCCTGCAGCCTAATCTTTATCTTCCATCGTACCTATCGGTGTCCTCATTATTTTTGGTGCATTTCATGTAAAGTAAAAGAGACAGTTAAGAAATGCTTTCTGAAAGTGATACCAGTACTGATATTATCAGCCTGCTTTCATAAAAGTAGCAGACACAGTGTACCAGCA